ACCGTTACTACTTTGGTTTTTGTTCTCCGGAGTTTACCTGGGCTGTTCCTCTTCCTGCGACTTCCACCCGTTCATCCCGTATATAGGCATCTTGTCATCCTTATTAGATTTCAGTTCCCAGATGTCACACTTCTCTCCTCCAATCTTCTTTTCTCCCCCGAACAGCCACGTTGTGGAGCACTCTCCCACTTTCTGTTCTCCCCCAACTTATAACCCTACACTCTTTAGACGTGGCATCAGTAAACTGGATCTTACGTAACTGTTCCCCTACTCTCCCTTCTACGGTATGCTATTTGTCTATGGGGTTTTCCTCTTACTGTAACTCACGTCGTGCAATAAAAAAGTAGGACTTTATCGAAGGATTTAGCAAAATCAATGTACCCCGCATATGCTCTTGCCATTGACGTCTGCCATGTCAAGCTATCCATGAAAGTCAGCATATTGCTGACTCTTGTTCTAACGGATAGAAATCCCTGCTGGAAAGGTGAGAGAAAATTGCTAATGTGGAGGTGTCTCCTTTGTAGTGCTCTCAAGAATTTTGCTAGAAACCCAGGTTAGGGATATAAAAGGATAACTCACTGTATATAGAGGAGAGAACTGCGTCTTTACAGCGAGGAAGTATTCCCTCATCTATATATCGTTGGAAGAGTAGAGTGTATGGGACAGCTAAAATGCCCGCTGAGTTTTTAAGAATTCTGCTGTGTATTTTCTTAGAACCCATAGAACAGTAAGGCTTATATTGCATATTGTTTTCTCCACACCTTGCTGGGTGGAAGTAACACGATTAAGCATGAAATGAAGGGATGTCTAGTACTCGAGTAGTGGTGGGGATAGAGCTAACGGTGACCTGGTAGTGCTTTAGAAGTACATCTCAGTTTCAGTTTTCACTACCATTAACCACATACCTTCGTGCGCCGGTTTTGGTGGCTCATTTGGACAACAGTGTAGAATGAATATTAGAATGTTGAAAGCAAATTCAAGCGAAAGATAGCGAATTTATATAGTTTGTTACAAGAATAATGAGTAGAAGCGTGAGCGCCACTGTTTACCACATCCAGCCATATCGCTCAGTATCCCTAACCATCGGTGATTATGATCTCGGGGTCCCCAGCCACAAGCCTATCGAGACCTACATGTCCCAGTCTCCTGGTTAGGGTTTTTATACCCTCTTTCCAGGTCCTTGTTTGACCGCCGTTGACCTTTTTCCAATCGTTACCTGCCTCTGCTAACGTCGCTCGCCGTGGCAAACTATCTGGTGACAGGCGTGACACACGTCCCAACCAGCGTAATCTATGACGGTCGACTACTTGCTCCAATAAACGACCGCGGTTACCTAAAACTTTATATCTGACCTCAGCACTGCGCCTCCGGTTACTCCACCAGACTCGTGCAGTGCGACGTAGATAGCGGTGTTCGAACACCGACAGTTTATTTTTGTCCTGTTCCCGTAGTGGCCAAGTCTCTGCACCGCAGAGCAGTACTGGTCGAACTTCTGCAGCTAATACTTGACTCTTCGCAGATAGCCGGATGTTGCGACGGTGCAAAAAATGTGTAGAGTTAGCAAATACCGACCGAGCCTTCTGTATGCGCGCCGAAACTTCATCTGATGCGTCCGCCGGGCGAGATATAGCTTCCCAGATAGCAGAATTTGTCTACTTCATCTACTACTATCCCACTCAGGGTGAGACTGGGTGCTGGACCAACCTAATCTTGTAGCAACATTTTGCACTTTGAAGGTGCAAAGCGCACACCAAACGAAGCGCATCTGCAACCTGGGGAGGAGCCGTTACGGTTAAAATTTGCATAGGTTAAACCATGCCCAAGAATGTTATTTAACGTTCAGTGGTAATGTCATAAAAAGTGCATTGATTAAATTGGAATCGTGCTGTATTCACAGGGTTGTGGACATTCCAGATTTTTCCTGAATGGAAATTACGAGCGCGCCGATTGAGGGAATTTACCAATCAGATAGGTGTATTCCGTCTGGTACCCTAGGTCTCACGAGCCCAGTAGCATCGAGAAAACACCGGAATTTTCCCACGATGGTGATTTATCCCAATGCATTTTAAATTCATACTATGGGAATACTCATCGGAATTCAGGCTTCTCCTGACACCACTCAGATTGCGCAGGTTTCTTCGACCTGCGAGGTAGTTTACGCTCAACTTAATGGTAGCTGACAGTGTGACAAATCTAATCATTATACCCAATCATTATGCTGTTCTTGTAACCAAATGCAAGCTATTGGGCTCTTGGTACCCTAGGTCTCATCAAGGCAAGTGCAAAATTGAGCCCATTGGCTATCTAGTTGCCCACCACCAACCTTATGACACCCCACTCACCTTACTCTGGAGTTATTTGCACGATTCCCTCCATTACATTCATAATATTCTTGCCACTTAGATATAAGGATTTAGTTCAAAATTGTTGTAGTTTCTATATTCTTGTCCTTGGGCCCATTAAGTGTTACATGCTCCATTTTTATTATTTTTTCATTTAACATCGCTTATTGTCTTGCACGCATGTTGCTTGACGCCACCGTAAGATCGCATAAAGTGTTTGGTGATCTTCATTGTCATGCAGCTGATCACTCTTTTCTGTGCTACTCATTCTATTCTGGAACATAGGGTCTTATCTGATCCACAGGAACGTGCTTGGTATGACAGTCATCGGGCACAAATTCTGCAAAGTGGAGGTCAGAAGGCACAGATGGGTTCTACAGCGGATTATGAGGAGGAGCGTGTAGACGTGTTCCCGTTCTTCGCAAGATCATGCTTTGATCGATTTGATGACGGGAAGAAAGTAAGTTAATTTTGTTGGTCCCGGTGCGCTGTTATCACCATTTTACCGTCCATACTCCCCATGCCCTGTTTTGTAGGAACTTGTACACAATTGAGAGAATGTTTTCCCGTCCTACGTGAATTTCGCCGTCATTTATTGAGTTGATTATTATGTCCTTTGTGTTCGCCAATCACTTATAAGCTTGTGAAAAGGAAGTTCTCCTTTTGAACGCTCCAAATGTGAGAGCGGGTCTTTTGAACTCCCGTAGATGTTCCCAAATAGTAGACAATACAGCCTCTGCTAGAGTAGCTTAAGTTCCGGAATTCAAACTCTGACGCTACTTTCGAACGTTCACTGTCGTTCGGCTCAGTGATACACATACCCCATTGGGGGTGTTCTATATTTTCGCAATTTCCGGTACGGTACCCAGATCTCCGAGGTTCATCCCTTGTACGGTTCACCCTACTAAAGTTTGTGACCAAGACATTTGAGTGAAAGGTCACCAGGAAAACACTTCGTCCAGAAGTTCATGTCTTTTTATCCGCATGCGTTTGTTGAAATAAGTGATTTCGTCTGTCTTTGCGCACTTCAAAATTGGTACACTTGTTTGGATTTACTCATTTTAATATTGTGTTGTTCATTCCGTATCGCTATTATTTATTTCATTTTCATCAGGAATCAACGCTGAAAACGTTCCCCATAGTTTGTCTTTAAAATTTGACACGGATTACTTTTGCTCTTTTCAATTTCAGGGGTTTTACACAGTCTATCGGAAGGTGTTCAGTGACATTGCAGAGGAAGAACTACGTGCCCGTGAATTTGACGCCTGCTCGTCCACCTCTACGGATGAAGATAATGAGAAATCCAACCAAAACGGGCGTTCTTCTCGTGAATATCCCTCATTTGGTCAATCGGACAGTCTCTACACTGACGTAGTTGCCTCATTTTATCAGTTCTGGGAGGCTTTTCGTACACATAAGAACTACACTTGGGTAGAGAAATACGATATCCGATGCGCTGATTCACGTGCGGTAAGTTCATGTGTTCCTTTTAATCGAAGGTATGCTATAAAGCAAGGCGAGATGTTTTTCTTATCGTTGTACAAAGAAGTACAGTGAAGAGAATTCCATTGATCTCTGCCAATCTCACGATGTGGTTAACGAATTTGTAGTGAGGGAAAAAAGGAAACCATTAAAATCAGCGCACTGTGTCATGAGCACGGATCTCTTCAACCACCAGTTAACAAGTAATCGAGGTTATACAAGTTTTATTCGACCAATAATAACGTCCAAGGGACCAAAGTGTAAAGGTAAAGCGATAACTAATGATATCAGTAAAAATAGCCTTTATTGGTTAAACAGTGCGGCTGTTTATACAACCGTTTTCACAGACTTCGACGCTGTCCTACTATTATTTTCTGATCAAGCACCAACTTTTCTTCTTAATCCTGTGATGAATGGTAAGTACTGGCCATATTCTTTCCTATTTGTGCCGCGTGTAGTTCGCTACTTCAGTCCGCAATGTCAAGTTTCTGTTTAGCATTAGTGGGCGGCAAGAACCGCCTCTCGGATACACGTACTCAGGATCCAAACTAAACAATCCCATGAACGTTTGCCTCCAGCCCAAGAGAAGCGTTTCATTTGCATCTTTCCCCGGGAACCCTGGTGCGTCCGGGCCAGCAGGCGTTGCTATCACCTTTATCACTATGACAGAGGCTTCTCTATTGGACTAAATCCTGATAGATGGCTGGCTATACGCAGTGAGACTACGGGGTTCACATAAAGTCAACAAGCAAAAATTAAATGAATGGTGCTTATTCTTGGTTTTTGCATTCGCTCCAACGGTCTGTAACCCGGTTGTAATCAAAGGTAGCTTCTGTCATCATCTACATGAGCTTCACGAAGACAAATATTGTGATTATGACCGAACACTTACAAGCTCCCATTGTCCGTCTTTCGTCCGATGAAGCTCATCTTGGTGGCCATCACGACCCTGTTAACTGTCATTCAGGTAGTGGGTATGGGATTTTTAGCTTGTTCTCGGAATACAGTCCATTCCCCCTTAGCACGAACTTCTGACACTGAAAGCATCTTGGCCATTTGGTGTATCATCTCTTTGACGTGGACCTGGACTAATCGTAGCTATGTGAAGGATGTGTTAAATATTGTCGTTCGTGCTAGTCCATCTGCCTGAACTCTGACCACGCATCGGTTAAGTTATCCATGTGATTTGGTTACTACAAGAAAGGAGCTACAGATAGCCTAACATTGTCAAGCTTTCTGACCGTACTAGTCAACTGTCACAATGAGTTGGCCACAAAGCTAACAGTGACCCCACCAAATAGCACAGAAGAACGCTGAGCACCCATCCAAAACCCGGTTAAAAACAATTGTGGCGTAATCCGCCCCTGTCTCTGTCAAACTTAACGCGCGCTGAATAAACCTAGTGGAGTGGCTATGATGAACAGTGGCTCTTTTAGAAGCGCCAACTCACAAAGAAGACACGAGTTGACCGAGAAGCGTAATGGACTCTATGCTCAAAGTTGAGAGAACCAGCAGCTAGCTGTAGAACCACCCGGCAGCTGTTCCAATTCATCTAAGCTAATGGTTTATAAATACTGTATTAATGAAACAGTTTACGAGATAAACGACACGCCAAAATACAGCCTTCATCGACGCGTGGGACACTGGGCAGAGTACTTTACATTGCAGTGCAACCAGCCTCCCGCACTGGCTACCCAAGCAGTTCTAAAAGTTTGCCACAGTCACTGTCTGTGGAACTACCCACAGAAGTGGTTTTGTAAACAGCTTCTAACCGTTAGCCACCATAAAGAGTCGGGATCAAACACTTCTCCGCGAGTCCCTTTGAAAGATGGTGGGGAAATTCTCATGTGAGAACTTGACATTGCTTTCATAGATCTACTGAGAGAAAAATAGTATCTCGTATTTGAGGAGAATCAATTATTAGACCCATCTTACAAAAGGATTGTCGTAATTTTCGTTCCAATGGCACGGGTATGAGTCTGATTCCCGTAGCACAAACTGTCAGCGGTCATTTCGCTATGTAGGTTGACACCGATTCGCGAGGACAAATCTGCGAAGAGTAGTCCAGGCAGCAGCCACAATGTGAGAGTGTAATCCAAACGCAAGTAAATTGGACAGCAAACCTTTTTGCCTTCGGAGTTGTTTGAAATGTCGAGAGAGACCAAATGAGTTTTTTCGTGAATATCAGTTGCTGTTAGCCGGGATTGCCAGACAAAAGGTAGTAGGTAGCCCCTGGAACGATCAGGGTATTGACCACAGTGTTTACTCCTGTGCAAATCATTAGATTCTGTGAATTCTAATGAGCGATTACCGATTCATACACGTCAACCTGAAATCTAGGTTAAACTATGGTCTTATAGCCAGAGATAACTGACAAAAAGTGGACAATTGCTAAGCATCATTGGAGGTTTTAGAGTAGCAGGCTTGGATTAGCCCATTCGATTATTAAGGCACTCTTGATGATCTTTGGTGTAGGTTTCACTCCTTGAGAAATCGTTACTTCCCCACAATTTCGTGCATTTACATGCGATGGAAATATTTGTGATAACTGACAAAGAGCACTGGACAGCTGTTTCGTCCTGTTTGGGACTCGTCAGCAGTGCGTACTTTTTGTCCCGCGAACTTTCTGGTTGGGACTTCAAACCCTTACTCCTGAGCTACACGGTTGACGGTCATCACCTTGTGCAAAAGGCTCAATCAATTTTAGAGCAGCCATTCGCACAAAGTGATGACCGTCGACCGTGTAGCTCAGAGGTAAGGGTTTGATGTCCCAGCTCGAAAGTCCGCGGTTCGAGTCCTAACGGAGACACAAAAAATACCCACTACTGACGAGTCCCAAACAGGACGAAGCAGCTGCCTAGTGCTCTTTGTCAGTTATAAAAAACATTTCCATTGCATCATTTGAGTTTGTTTGCACTGAAATTCCGTTGTGCTATGCAACCCACTTCTCATTTTAACGCATGCATCTTTTTTACGCTCCCATATCACCGTACCTCATTTTCCTGTTGATTTTAAATGCATCGCGAGACTTTTAGTTACGTAACTTCATGTGAAGATTGAATTGCGTGTGTTAATGTGTGAGAGAATGAAGTGTTCGGCATAAAATCGCCTCTTTTATATGTGTGTCATGCGTAACATTGGTATAGGATCTTAAGTGGTCGGCAGACATTCTGTTTTTGAATCAAGCTAGTATTTTGTGAAGTCGGTGTTGTAAGTTCACAATTCTCAGAATGACGATGGATTCTAGGCTACGATACACCAAGAACGTTGTTTTGAGAGGATGGGATACTGGGCGACACGTAGTAAAGGAACAAAACACGAGAAAGTTTCTTTTAATACTAATAAATTGCATCCAAACCTAATTTTCATTTCCACCCCCATCAAGGAACGCCGAGCAATGGAACAAGAAAATAAGCGCCTCCGGAACGCCGCTCGCCGTAAACGGAACGAAGAGGTTCGCCAATTGGTTGCTTTTGTGAAGAAGCGAGACAAACGCGTCGCCGCGGAACGAGAACGAATTCAGCAAGTAGCCCAGGAAGCGCAGGCTCGAACTCAAAAGTTGGCCAGAGAAGCCAGACAACGGTAATTCTTGATTCGCAAATAATTTTTGTTGTTGTTGTTTTTGGAAAAGTCGCCATTAACACCATTGTTCTTACCATCGTTGTCGCCTATAGATCATGACAATCGGACTATCCGATTAGTGAGAGAGACTTTATAAACAAACCTGACTGGTTTATCAGTTGAGGTTTGTGCTGTATTCATCTAAAAATGTGTTTTTTGCAGTGCCCAAGGGACGGATGTTTTTAAATCATTATTGTCGTTGTCATCATTATGAACGTGATCATGATCAATCACAGCATCATCATCATCATCTGCAGCAGCAGCAGCAGCAGCATTATCGTAGACATTTGCATCACGAGAATGGGCAACATCCTAGCTCAACTAACTACCAGACAACTACACATTGGTTGATAGTTGCACCAGGATCAACCAACAGTTGTCTGCAGGATATTGCATCAAATGTTTACCTATATCTCACATTGTTTATAGTGTTCTGTACAACCGAGTTGTTTCCCTCCTAGCTTAGTTTTTCAACGCTTGGAAGTTGCTACTTGGCCCAGATGAGGTCCGAAAGATTCCGTAGCTTCTTTGGTGACGACGCTTCTGGACTTGTCAATGAACTAACTGACTGAAGTGGCGTTTTTGTTCTTTCTTCTCAAGTCGAAATGGTTGAAAAGGTGTCTGCACCGTTAAATTGTGCTCTGGGTGTCGATTATAACAATTGGCTTTGTTTCCTCCTTCCTCGAAATCGGTCTAATCTGTGTCCACCTTACCTATTTTCACTTGCGTTTTATATATTGTAAGCTTGTCATAATCAGTCAAGCCGGCTTGATAAAAATTTCGGTGTACAATAATAATAATGATAATGATATTATCCGAGCGATAAGATTTCGAACTGTTCCTTGTAGTGGAACTTAGGCGTCATCATCCGAATCGGTGGGTTACATCAGTTACCTGTTGTGAGGCCTATTCTGACATCCTTTCCGTTTAAAACAACCCTTAAGCTTGTTTCACTGTTGGCTCGTGATAGCATCACTCGTCACTATTCGCTCATCATAAGTGCCCTGCATTCTGATGTCCTAGTTAGTTGTGATTTGACACGCCCGAGATACCTTGTACATCCGCGGAGTTTCTGTTCCTTCTGAACACAAACCGGCCAAGCCCGACCGACATCGAGCATAACGAAACATAACTCGTAACGAGACGTGAACTGAACGTAAACGGTCACTGAGCGGGAAATCAAGCGGACCCAGCTTGCCTCACAGATGGAACGTAGTCGCTGTCGGCAATTGCTGCAAGTTGTTTCTCTTGGCTACTCACCTATTTAAAATCAAAGATGACTTCTTGCACTCTGGGTGCTGCACTTTGAAGCGCAGTTTAGTTGGCCACCAGTCTAAGCTATTCCAACAGACACTTTCAGAGATGGAAATCCCACTAGAGATCCAAGCCCTTGGACGTCACAAAGCGCCGGGTTCCGACATATGTATTTAAAGATTATAGACTAAAATTTGCCAGTGAACTGCACAGGTCCCCTGGTGGGATAATCGGCTGCAAGAGAAACAGATTGTCGTTTGGTCCGAGGGTTTCATACCGGGGGTTAGAGACACTGAATGATACGCCTGAGTGTCGTAAACAATGGCGTTCGTGCATTTTCTCACTTTCATTGCAAACTTATTCCACTGAAATCCTCCACTTTCTCTTCGACTCTACTTTCAACTCCTCTGTCTTTCTCTTACTGTTTCGTTGAAATGGACAACCAAAAGATAACAAACAAAACCGGCGCAATAAGGTGCATGAATATTGGTTGCGCGAACGGAATTGAACTTGCCTCACTATGCGGCCGCGACTATCTGACACTCCGTCCAACCTCGCTATTGCTTGTCCGGTTTCTCTACCAGTCTCGTGCAGTGCGACAGCGGTACTCGAATGTCTGTACCACTCTGTAGATGTCTCAAGTTGGCTTCACAGTTATCAAAGTTTTTCTATATTTTCTGTATCACTTCTCCATTTAGAGGGGGACTGCTGACTGGATCAATCCAGTCTTAGAGCAATATTTTGCACTTTGAAGGTGCGAAGCGCATACGTTAGCACTCAAACTATGGGCAACAGGTTTCAGCTTGCCCAAATCTTCATGTAGCATTACAATGTCGTTTGCATACTCCAGTTCATATATACTGCCACCCCGGAGCAACTGGATGCCACTGTTCTCACTCGAGATCTGGTCGGTTTCCGTGATCAAATCTATAACAAGGTTCAATAGAAAAGGAAAGGGAGTATGAAGCAACCTTGAAAAACTCCGTTTTCTGCGATGAACTCGGGTGAAAAAGTGCCTTAAGCTGAGACTTGGCTTTGACTTTTCGCATAAAGGAGTCGTGATACTGAAATAAACTTATGGGGCATCATCATCATCATCGTACAGCGAAATACAGTGAAATGAACTTCGCTGACCGCTGCCAAACTCGCAATGCATACAAGGTTTGGTAAAATTTAAGGTGGACGGGGATTGGATCTATTTTAAGGGAGGGAGAAGATGAGCCACTATGGTCAACACACAGAGTACGCAATCGAACTCTGCATATATACCGTTTCAGGCACTCTGACCTGATAAGAAACGACAACAAGAACGCCACTGCTGCTGGTTCGCTGCCATATCCTTCAATGTCTGCAACCAACCAGTTTTGGAGTCTTTCGGACCGCAACCTGGAAGGCGAGAGACACCTACTCTACCTAATGGCTCTGTCCATTTCTTCATGCCTCGTCCCTACGTCATCTGTTGACCTCCGGTGGTTTCCTCCAGCTCCGATTAGCTACAGCGAATAAAGCGCGATGCGGCAGTCGATGGCTGGGCACACGCAATACACGCCTAGTAAGCCTAGTAATCTGAATTCGGTATGCTAGCAGGTTTATACCTGACAGACTCCCAAACATACGACGGCTTACCTCCACGGTACTAACCCGTTCGCTTCATCCGACGTGGGTTAAACTGCGTAAACACGGATAATGGAAAACTTCTAGTCGACGGATATCTTCTACTCGCAAATTCAGGGTCTCACAACCATAAAGCAAGACTGAACAAACGTTAGCACAATATACACAACCTTTCAACTTCAGTGAAACGTCGCGTCTACGCCAAAGGTGTTTCAGTCCTGCGTATGCTGCTCGAGCCTTGGAAATGCGGGCGGTTATCTCCTTTGCTGCACTACCGTCATTGGTCACGCAACTACCTAAGTAGGAAAAGTAATCCACCACAACTAAATCTTGGCCATTTAGCGTCAGATTGGGAGTAGACGAAACCCAGTCCTGCAGCATCACTTTGCACTTTGAAGGTGCAAAGCACATACCGAATGTGGCCACTGCACTTGTTAATCTATCAAGTGCACTTTGCGCGTCCTCCATACATTCGAACAGACAGACAATATCCTCGGCGTACTCCAAATCGTATAGCTTTTCTCCAGCTGTCCATTCAATACCTAGGTTTTGGATTCCCTTTAGTGCGCTCTCCAGTATTTCGTCTACGACCGGAGGTATGTGAGTACAGTGACTTCAGTAGGTTAACGTACTTCTGGGGCATTCCTTTTCGAAGAAGGCAGCCCATCAGAGCTTCGCGGTCAACTGAGTCGAAGGCTCCTTTCAGGTCAAGGAACACTGCGATCGTTGGCCGACGGTGAGTATGACGCAGCTCAAGGAGCTGACGCAACGTAAAAATCTGATCAATACATCTATACATTATGGGGCACACCCTTCGGGAAATGTAGCACCAGAGTTCAGAGCGGTGGACTGAATTGAAGGCCACTTTCAGACAGAGGAAGACAGAGATGTTAAGTATATGAAAGTCAGTGCTCCAGAATTTGGTGAAGAGTGAAGATGTGGTCCATATAACTTCGGCCAGGTCCAACATCAACCTAATCTTCACGCGTGCAACGTTCACATACGGCAACATAATGTCAGCTAGAAGTTTGAATACAATGTTGATAGAACTAATTCTTCTGTAGTTTTCACAAGAGGATTTGCCACCCGTCTTGTAAATTAATAGGACGACTGCTTCACACCATTCAGTTTTTACGTGTTCCCTAACCCATATCGAACTAAAGAGTTTCATCAACTTCAAAACCAAAGCTGAACCTAAATCCTTAAAAGCCGATGGAGAATCCTTACACCAATAGAGTTAACTTATTTCCCGAGTGACCTCCATTTCAGATAGAGAATGAATATCACGTGGCAGTATTTACCAGTTATAAAGTGTCATAATTCCACAATACTTGTGCCAGGTAAAGGAGACTTATTTGTGAGATCAACGTCGATAGGGGGTAAATACAGAACGACACATCCTATCTGTGACAGTTTTCTTGTAGTAGACTCTTGATCCTTAGCCAATAGCCTGACAGCCTCTTTACCTTTTCGGTAGTTAATCTGCCACAGTTACTGTGAGAATTGGCCCATTGCTTATTCATGTGCGCCAAACAAATTTGAGTAGTACCTCAAAACAGCAGTAATTCAGAGATCGATGAAGGTCTGTTGAACTGTGCCTTGAATTTTTCCGCTCATTGCTCAATGTGGCGTTGCTAATGATGGATTAGTGTAACGTCCGACTCTTTGATTATCTCACCTACGCCTTTTTTCAGCCCGTAGTCGTAATGAGACGGCATAGAGTGCGACTATTAACCATGACCACAGCCGTCTCCAAGGCTCTACATTTTGCTACACACCCATACTCACGGTCTTTCTTCAAGCTGTTGATTAACTATCCTTTAAGGGATTCGCGTACGGTATCACATTTGGCATCAGGAGGCGTCAGCAGAGCATCCGCCGACAACAAGATCGTTCGTGCTCCAGAATCCGCCGTTGTTTTGATTGACATTTAAATAACTTGATTGATTTGTATCCACGTTTCATTCATTCCATTGACTGTTGGTTGAACTGAAAGGCGACGAGAAAACTGTGCTTCAAGGGCGCATTTACAACTATCGGTCATGTAGGGACGAACGCCATCACACTACGTCAAGGTGCAGTCTTGACGTGATGTATATATATATATATATATATTCCATCGATCGGTGGAAAATGAAAAACAACGTTGCTGAGGTGATAAAATAAACAAGAGAACCAGCAGACTGCAAGTAGGTGCGCAATTGTTACCTTTTACGGTACGCAATGTCATCTAATGTATCTGCGACCATGGACAAGGTTACCCCGAAGACCCTAATCAGTGGCGTTCGTGCGTCTGCTCATTTCCTACGGATATCCAGTTTACTTGCTTTCCCTATTTTCATTTTGCCGGTGCACTTCGGTTTCAACTCTCCGACTCACTATTTCTTCATCAATCGACCCAATGGGTAGTTTAAAAACAAACTATTCCGTCGCGTGACAGTGCCCGATTAATGATTGTGAAAATTGAAAACATGAAGCAGCCATGCTGTCGCTTATCCTCGATACTCCTCGAATAACTTGGCAGAGGCCTCCTTCTATTCTACTGTCTATTACCTCATCTAATGAAATCCCTGCAAGAATAAATTACACCCTAGCCAA